GCCTTTACCCCCCCCACCCCCGAGTCTGTGACTCTCCCGCCTCCCTCCCCACCTACTCCCGTCTGCCCCCTCTTCTGCCCCGTCCCCTGCCGTGTCTCCTCGCACCCCGTCACTGACGGCGCTTCCCTCCTCCGCATCAATGTCTTACTCCCGCTTCAGCCCAGCCTCTCTGCAAGGCCTGGCTCAGCAAGCCGCCTCCACGTTGGAATCAGCGAGTCTGACAGTGGCCTCTTCGTATCCCCTGTCCACGAGGGACCACCCCAGCCGGCCCCTGTGGCCTCTGCCGGTGCCCCAGGCGCCCAGCTGCCTGCACTGTGACTCCTGGGGTGGCTGTGGGCCCTCCCCACCGTCAGTCTCCTCCATGAATCCATCACTGAGCCTCCGACTTGGCCCACTGCCTGGGCCTGACCTTGTTCAGGGCCTTCTTTTAAAGAAAAAGTTTACTGATTTCAGAGAGGAAGGTAGAGAGAGAAACATCAGTGATGAGAGAGAATCACTGATCAGCTGCCTCCTGCACGCCCCCTACTGGGGATCGAGCCTAGAACTGTGCCCTCCTGGTTCATAGGTGGACACTCACCCACTGAGCCACGTTGGCCGGGCAGTGGTCAGTCATGTTGGGCCTGTCACTCCCTCGGTGTAGATTCAGTCGCTTGGCTGGGTGCCGGGATTCCCTCCCTTTCCCACGCAGGAAGCAAAGCCCCAGGTGTCCTTTCACTGTTTTTCCAGGCACAAGCCTCTGCTAGCCTCTGGGGTGGGACAGGGGTGATGGTGGGTTGAATTTCCCACGACGATGGGCCCTGAGGAGGGACGGTCCCATAGTCGGAGAAGCTGAGGCAGGAGGGAGGTGCGGCCTTGGTGCAGGTCGCCAGGCCCTCTCCACAGAGAAGAGTTCGGGATTGGTCGAATGTGAGGGTCTGGGCAGGAGACCGAGCTGAGCCACCACGGCTCCCAGGGGGTCCTCTTCCGCCTGCTCAGCTCCAGGTCCTGTGGGGCTCCGGACCCTGATGGGACACCCTGGGAGTCATGTCCTACAGCGGGTTTAGGATTT